GAGTCCATTCAGTCCATGATGTTCAAAGTTCATTCTCTGTTGGGATGATGGCTGGAGGGAAGTCAGGGCCGGTCGCTGGTGACCTGGAGACATCTAGTTGATGGGCTATAAAAGTATTACACAGCAGGCAACAGCATACAATTGAGTTCACTGGCTGTTTTCCCCTGAAATCAAATCCCCTTGAGGTATACATCGGACTTCCCCATCTTCCCGCATTACCCACCAAGTATATCCAGGTCCCTGAGCAAAAGCAATCCCACGAGTGGGTTTGCCTTTACCTGAAGCAGGAATAACCCAGACTGTCTTCCCCAGCAATTTCTTCATATGCACCACGGGAACTTTGTCCCCCCCTACAATATGTAAAAGTTCTGACTGGGCTGGGCCAGCCCTGTTGGCAGATCCTCTGGTGTTGACCAACCAGGTGGCATTTGGTAAATGTGTATCCCAATGCTTGAATGTTCCCCCACCCATCGCTCTCAGTGTAGTTTTTAACAGCCCATTGTACCGTTCGATTTTCCCAGAGGCTGGTGCATGGTAGGGGATGTGATATACCCACTCAATGCCATGCTCTTTGGCCCAAATATCTATAAGGTTATTCCGGAAATGAGTCCCATTGTCTGACTCAATTCTCTCTGGGGTGCCGTGTCGCCACAAAATCTGTTTCTCAAGGCCCAGGATAGTGTTCCGGGCAGTGGCATGGGGCACAGCGTATGTTTCCAGCCAGCCGGTGGTTGCTTCCACCATGGTAAGCACATGGCGCTTGCCTTGGCGAGTTGGTGGCAGTGTGATATAGTCAATCTGCCAGGCCTCCCCATATTTATACTTCAACCATCGTCCTCCATACCAAAGAGGCTTTAACCGCTTGGCTTGTTTAATTGCAGCACATGTTTCACACTCATGAATAACCTGGGCAATAGCGTCCATTGTTAAGTCCACCCCTCGGTCACGGGCCCATCTATATGTTGCATCTCTGCCCTGATGGCCTGAAGTGTCATGGGCCCACCGGGCCAAAAATAATTCACCTTTATGTTGCCAATCTAAGTCCATCTGAGCCACTTCAATCTTAGCCGCTTTATCCACTTGTTGGTTGTTCTGGTGTTCCTCAGTGGCCCGACTCTTGGGTACATGGGCATCTACATGACGTACCTTCACCACCAGGTTCTGCACCCTGGCAGCAATATCTTTCCACAGTGCAGAGCCCAGATGGGTTTACCTCTGCGTTGCCAGTTGCTCTGCTTCCATTGCTTCAGTGCCAATCACTTCCGAAGCAGCTCGAACCCCTTCATAGGCTGCCAGTACAGCCTTTTACAGGGCTGTGTTTCCACCCCTGGGGCAGTCGGTTCCAAGTGAACTGGACACCCCTCCAAGTAAAAGCAAACTGTGGCCTGCACTCTGCTGCCAAAGGAATGGAGAAAAATGCATTGGCAATATCAATCGTGGCATACCACTTGGCTGCCTTTGACTCTAGTTCATACTGAAGTTCTAGCATGTTCGGTACGGCAGCACTCAATGGTGGTGTGACTTCATTCAGGCCACGATAGTCTACTGTTAGTCTCCATTCTCCATTAGACTTTCGCACTGGCCATATGGGGATATTGAAGGGTGAGCGGGTCCTGCTGATCACCCCCTGACTCTCCAGTCTACGGATCAGCTGATGGATGGGAATCAGGGAGTCTCGGTTGGTGCGATATTGCCGCCGGTGCACTGTTGTGGTCGCAATTGGCACTTGTTGTTCTTCAACTTTCAGCAACCCCACAGCAGAGGGATCTTCTGAGAGAGCAGGCAAGGTGGACAGCTGCTCAATTTCCTCAGTCTCCAAAGCAGCAATACCAAAAGCCCACCGGTACCCTTTTGGGTCTTTGAAGTACCCTCTCTTGAGGTAGTCTATGCCGAGGATGCATGGAGCCTCTGGACCAGTCACAATAGGGTGCTTTTGCCACTCCCTCCCAGTCAGGCTGATTTCAGCCTCCAGCACAGTCAACTCTTGGGATCCTCCTGTTACTCCAGAAATATAGATGGGTTCCACCCCTTGACAGCTTGATGGCATCAGGGTACACTGTGCACCGGTATCTACTAGAGCCTTATACTTCTGTGGGACTGATGTGCCAGGCCATCTGATCCACACAGTCCAGTAAATCCGATTGTCCCCTACCTCCACCTGGCTGGAGGCAGGGCCCCTCTAATGGTCGTCACAGCATTGGACACTTAAGTCGTGTTGAAAGGGATTATTCTTCATTATCACAGGAGCTGGAGTAAAATCAGCTCTTCCACTCCATCTGGGAAACTGCTCACCAGAGACTGAAGCCGTAGCTCTCATGGGACGATCAGTCTTGGCCCTTGCTCCCCTCTTCAGTTCACTCACCCGTTCCTCCAAAGCTGAAGTAGGTTTTCCATCCCACTTTGTCATGTCTTCTCCGTGATCCAGCAGGTAAAACCATAGGGTACCCCGTGGCGTATACCTTCTGTATCTCCTCTCTCGAACAATAGGACGTCTTTTGTTAATAGCTGAGACGTGTGTTGGTACACGTGAGGAGCTGGATAAATCAGATAGATCGTCCCTCAATTTGTCGAGGTCCTGGGACAGTTTTTTCACAGCTGAGATGATGGAAGGAGTGAGATTGTCTTCGAACTCTCGGAGTTTATGAACCATTTCATCCACTGTTAGTGGTACTATGTCATTCCAGGTCACTGTTGCCAATGAATGGGCATATGATGACGGTGCATTCCGTGTAAGTTTTTGCCACATGGGTCGTGTACATTCAACTTCATCTGGATCTATAGGTGTATCCCCGTTATTCGGCTTGATGTGATAGATCATCTCTACGATGGCCGATTCCCTCAGAGACTGGATGCCTTTGTCTATAGTAGTCCACTTGGCCGAACGACTCGTAACATCGTCCTTGTACGGAAACCTTTCTTTCACAGCTGCCAAGAGCCTCCTCCAAAGGCTGAGGGACTTTTTCTCTCTTGCAATTGCTTTGTCAGTTCCCCCTTCTCTAGCAAGTGATCCCAGCTGCTTGGCTTCTGTACCTTCTAGTTCGTGACCATCAGCCCCATTGTCCCAGCATCGGAGTAACCAGGTGATGATGTGCTCCCCTGGTTGACGGGTAAAATCTTTTTGCATATTCCTCAGCTCGGTTGAGGTCCGAGGTCGAGAAGTTACCTCTTCTTCTTCTTCTTCGTCATGTGATGATGACTCCTGATCAGATTCTGGACCGGGTGGTGAATTCATTGGTTCTTCATCTCGCTTCACCCTTTTTGCCTCCTTTTTGCTTGTTCTCTTGCGTACAGGGGCAACTGATATTGGTACGAATTGGTCCTCTGGTTTGGCTGCAGTGATTATCACTGTGGTTTGAGTAGCGACTGTACTTGTTGCTGGGGGTGGTGTAGCTACCGTGCTTGGAGCTGGGGTAACCGTGCTGTCTGTTGCAGTTGAAGTTTGAGCAGCTGCTGTACTTGCCGCTGGGGTAGCTGCGCTGTTCATTGCAGCCAAAGTTTGAGTAGCGACTGTCGCTTTGCCCTCAGATCCGCCGACATTCTTTTCCTTTTGAAGGTGCTGGATAGTGTTGAACAAGGCCCTGTAAGCATAGGCCAAGCCCCAGCACGTTGCCGTGATTTGTCCATCTCTGGTATGGCCAGAATGACCACACACCTCATTTAAGTGTTTTACTAATTCTTCTGGATTTTGCAGTTGTTCGGTAGTGAAATTCCAAAGTACTGGAGGGGCCCACTGACCTAGATACTTGCCCATACTATCCCACACACCCTGCCACTCATGGCTGTCCAGCCTCTGGGAAAATCTCTCGGTCCTCCTACATCGTCGTTTGACCCCAGACAAGACCCAAACCTGAATCTGCTTAACTCTTGAAATCAGTAGTGGGCAAAACACACTCTGTATGCGTGTTAGCATGGTGATTCCCATCACCATCAGCAAACAAGTCTCAACAGCATTAAAAGGCCATTCAAAAAATTCAAAACTCTCAAATGTAAATGGTCTGGGGGGACGACTAGGAGGGTAAAAGGATGTCTCCTTCACAGGTTGAGCACCTGAGAAGGAGAAAAAAGATGTGTAATTGCTAAGCACCTCCATCATATACCTCCCAAAGTATAAAGGTGGTGACCACACTGGGAACATAAACCAGATCAGTTTCATGATCAATGATTCTATTGTATTACAAGTCATTACCATAAAGTACAATGGGATAAAAACCTTAGCCCAAGCCCCACACTTGAAAAACACTAATACAGCCAATACCGGATGGACGTAAGATATGGTATACTGAAACTGTGAGATCAAGAGGAAAAACCTTGAGAGCCAATAAATCAGCATTGTGACGAGTGACTATCAATGCAGTCAGATCTGTTCTTATCTCAACCCCTCGTGCCCCACGTTGGGCGCCAAAAAGAACTGTCGTGGTTTAAACCCAGTCAGGTAACTTGTTCACTCACTCCCAGTGAGTGGTGCCGAGCTGACAACAATCAAGGTCCGTGTCCGTCCGCCCCCCCCGCACCGGGGCTCTCCCCTTCCCCGCTCCCGGAGGAACGGGGAGGAGGATCGAGAGAGTGCAACTCCTACGGGTTGAGACAAGAACAGTCCAGCAACAAATCACCACCGCTACTATCAGCTAAAACAATGATAAGGGAAAATAACAAGGGAAGAGAATACGATACCACCGGCCAAGAAAGCGAGTTCCACCCAGAAGCCCCTGTCCTTCCGGGTAACTCCCAGTTACCCCCCACCCCGGGCATGACGTGCTGTGGTATGGAATACCTCCCCGGCTAGCCCGGGTCAGGCGCCCCGTCTCTGCTTCCTCACAGCTTCCCCTCCTCCCTGGCAGAGCATGAGCCTCACAGAGTCCTTGGTCAGGGTAAACATCACTTAGCAACAACCGAAAACATCGGCTTCACCAACACTGTTCTCAAACTAGAAGTCAAAACACAGCACTGCACCAGTTAACACAAAGGAAAAAACATGACTGCTACTGCTGAACCCAGGACAGGGTGGTTTAGGGGTACTATGGGGATTGGAAGGGATGGAGATGCCTTGTGTTTGATTGGGGTTTGGGGTACCATGCAATTTTGGCATGGTTTAGGGGTACCATGGGGATTGGAAGGGGTGGAGGTGCCTGGGGTGGGCTGGGTTTTGGGATACTATGTAGTTTTGGGGTTGTTTCAGGGTGGTTTTGGGGTGTTAAACTGTTGTGGAGGGGGTTTGGGCTGGTTCTGGGGTGTTTTGAGCTGTTTCAGGGGTGTTTTGGGGTGGTTTTGGGCTGGGTTTGGGGTGGTTTGGGGTGTTTCAGACTTCTTTGTGGGTGTTTTGGGATGTTTTGGGATGTTTTGGGGTGTTTTGTGGATATTTGGGCTGGTTTCAGGGTGTTTTGGGGTGTTGTAGGGGCGTTTTGGAATCTTTTGGAGTGTTTTGGGCTGGTTTGGGGGTATTTTAGGCTGGTTTGGTCTGGTTTTGGGGTGCTGACGTGCCACCCCCCAGTGCAAAGGGCCGTGTCCCTGTTCTCCCTCACGGAGCCGGTGCTGAGCCCCCGACCCCCCCCCCCACCCCCGGAGAGGCCGCAGTGGGGTGCCCCCCCCATCAGGTACAGGGACCCTCCCTATATGGAGACCCCCTCATGTCCCCCTTGTATGTGGGGCTGGGATCCGCCCCCCAATATGGGGACACTCCAGTGCCCCTCCCCATTGCCCTTTACACCCTCCCCCAGCCTTGGACCTACCCCAGAAGGTGTCGCAGCTCGAGGCCAGGCTAAAGCAGCTTCACAGCGACCTCCAGAAGGTTCCATTTTGGGGGGGTTGGGGTGATTTGGGGCTGTTTTGGGTTCTCACTGGGTGCCATCCATAGGAGCAGCAGGACAAGGTGCTTTGGACTGGTTTGGGAGTGTTTTGGGAGTGGTTTTGGGTGTTTTGGGGTGGTTTTCGCCTGTTTTAAGGCTGTTTTGGGATTCTGACCCTGTATCCTATAGGAGAAGCAGGAAAAGGTGGTTTTGGGGTGTTTTGGAGGTGGTTTTGTGTGTTTCGGGGTGTTTTTCTCCTGTTTTGGGTCTGGTTTTGGGCTCCTACCCTGTATCCCACAGAAGAAGCAGGACAAGGTGGTTTTGGGCTGGTTTTTGGGGTGTTTTGGGGCTGTTTTTGTCCTATTTTGGGGCTCTGACCCTGTATCCCACAGGAGAAGCAGGACAAGGTGTTTTCGGGGTGGTTTTGTCTTAGTTTTCATTTTGGTTTTGGCCTGTTTTTGTCCTGTTTTGGGGCTCTGACCCTGTATCCCACAGCAGAAGCAGGATAAGGTGGTTTTGGGGTGGTTTTAGAGTGATTTGGGGGGGCGGTGGGGGTGGTTTTGGGCAGTTTTGGCCTGCTTTTGACTTGTTTTAGAGCTGTTTTGGGGTTCTGACCCTGTGTCCCACAGGAGAAGTGTGACAAGGTGGTTTTGGAGTGGTTTTGGGGTGGTTTTGTCCTGTTTTGGGGCTTTGACCCTGTATCCCATGGGAGAAACAGGACAAGGTGGTTTTGGGGTGGTTTTGGGGTGTTCTGGTGGTGTTTTGGGGTGTTTTTGTCCTGTTTTGGGGCTCTGACCCTATATCCCACAGGAGAAGCAGGACAAGGTGGTTTTGGGCTGGTTTTGGGGTGCTTTTGGCCTGTTTTTGTCCTGTTTGGGGGTTGCTTTGTGTCTGTGCCCCTGTATCCTATAGGAGAAGCAGGACAAGGTGGTTTTGGGATTATTTTTGGGGTGTTTTGGGGCTGGTTTTGTCCTGTTTCAGGGCTCTGAGCCTGTATCCTCTAGGAGAAGCAGGACAGGGTGGCTTTGGGGTTGTTCTGGGGTGGTTTTGAGGTGTTTTTGTCCTGGTTTTTGTGTGTTTTGGGGCTCTGACCTGTGTCCCATAGGAGAAGCAGGACAAGGTGGTTTTGGGGTGGTTTTGGGGTGGTTTTGTCCTGTTTTGGGGCTCTGACCTCTATCCCAAATGAGAAGCAGGACAAGGTGGTTTTGGGGTACTTTTGGCCTGTTTTGGGGCTCTTTTGGGACTTTGACCCTGTATCCCACAGGAGAAGCAGGACAAGGTGGTTTTGGTGTGTTTTGGGGCTGTTTAGGGCATTTTGAAGAGGTTTTGTCCTGTTTGGGGGCTGTCTGGGGGCTCTGACCCTGTATCCCATAGGAGAAGCAGGACAAGGTGTTTTTGGGCTGGTTTTTGGGTGTTTTAGGTTGGCTTTGTCCTGTTCTGGGGCTCTGACCCTGTATCCTGTGGGGATTGGAATGTGTCAAAGCTGTCAGAGACCATGGGAAGGAGAAAGTACAGCTAGCAATTGCTTGGGAGCATGTAAATATCGTGTAATCTGTTCAATAACGGATCCAGCTTGCACTCTACCTCTGGGTCCTCCATCCTCACAGGCTCTCACCCTGTATGCTATAGGAGAAGCAGGACAAGATGGTTTTGCGGTGTTTTGGGGGTTTTGGGAGGGTGTTTTAGGGCTCTGACCCTGTATAGCACAGGAGAAGTAGGACAGCGTGGGTTTGGGGTGGTTTAGGGTTATTTCTGGGGTCTTTTGAGGCTGTGACCTTGTATCCCATAGAAGAAGCAGGACAAGGTGATCTTGGTTTTTTTTGGGCTGGTTTTGGGGCTGGTTTGGGGTGTTCTGTGGCTCTGCACCTCTGTCCCATAGGAGATGCAGGACAAGGTGTTTTGGGGGTGTTTTAGGGTTTTTTTTGGTGTGGTTTTGGACTCTGACCCTGTGTTCCACAGGAGAAGAAGAATAAGGTGGTTTGGGGTTGTTTGGGGTATTTTTGGGGCGTTTATAAGGCGATCTGTGGCTCTGACCCTGTATCCCAAAGGAGAAACATGAGAAAGTTGTGAGGATGGAGGCACGGACCCAGAGGTAGAGTGCAAGCTGGATCCTTTCTTGAACAGATTACACGATATTTATATGCTCCCAAGCAATCAGCCAAGCACCTCTGTGTTTGCCTTGCAGTTACATCAGGTGAAAGGTCTATCTGATTTTCTTATTGACATCCTCTTTCCAGTTTGGGTTGGTTTAGGGTGGTTTTGGGATGGTTTTGGGTTGTTCTGGCAGTGTTTTTAGGCTGTTTGGGGGCTGTTTTGTGGCTCTGACCCTGTATCCCCTAGGAGAAGAATGACAAGGTGGATTTGGGGTGTTTTGGGGTGTTTTTGGTGTGGTTTTCCTTTGTTTTGGGGTGGTTTTGGGCTCTGAACCTGTATCCCATAGGAGAAGCAGGACAAGGTGATCTGGAGCTGTTTTGGCTGTTTTGGGGCTGTTATAGGACTCTGAACCAGTATCCCATAGGAGAAGAAAGACAAGATGGTTTTGTGGGTTTAGAGAGGGTTTTTTTGGTGGTTTTAGGGCTCTGACCCTGTATTCCACAGGAGAAGCAGGACAAGGTTGTTTTGGGGTGGTTTTGGGGTGTTTTTAGGGTGTTTATGGTGTGGTTTCTGGCTCTGACCTCGTATCCCATAGGCGAAACATAAGAAAGTGGTTTTGGGGTGGTTTTGGTTGGTTGGGGGGGGGGGGGGGGGGTGCTTGGGTGTCTTGGGCATGTTTTTGGGCTGTTTTGGGGCCGTTTTGGGGCTCTGACACTGTCCTGACGTAGGAGAGGCAGGACAAGTTTTGTGGTGGTCTAGGGTGTTTTGTGGTGCTTTGAGGCTGTTTTGGGGTGTTTTAAGGCTGTTTTTTTTATTTTTGGTTCTCTTTTGAGGCTCTGACCCTGTATCCCATAGGAGAAGCAGGATAATGTGGTTTTGGGTGGTTTTGGGTTTTTTTTTTGGTACTTTTTGAGTCTTTTATGGTGTTCTGGGGCTGTTTTGGTGCTGTTTTTGGACTCTGACCTGTATCCCATAGGAGAATCAGAACAAGGTGTTTTCGGGGTGTTTGGGGTGGTTTGGGGGTGTTTGGGGGTCTCCCACCCTGTATGGTGTAGGAGAAGCAGGACAAGATTGTTTTGGGGTGTTCTGTTTTTTTTTGGGGGGGTATTTTGGGGCTCTGACCCTGTATACCACAGGAGAAGCAGGACAGGGTGGTTTTGGGGTGTTTTTGGGGCTGTGACCCTGTATCCCATAGGAGAAGCCGGACAAGGTGATCTTAGGGTTTTGGGGCTTTTTCGGGCAGTTTTGGGGCTGTTCTGTGGCTTTGAACCTGTATCCTATAGGAGAAGCAGGACATGGTGGTTTTGGGGTGGTTTTGGAGTGTTTTGGGGTGTTTATGGGGTGTTTTGGGGCTCTGACCCTGTATCCCGTAGGAGAAGCATGACAAGTTTTGGGGTGGGATTTTTTGGTGGGTTTGTGTATTTTTGGGGTGTTTTAGGGTGTTTTTGTTCTGTTTTGGTGCTGGTTTTGTGCTCTGACCACGTATCCTATAGAAGAAGCAGGACAAAGTGACTTTGGGGTGGTTTAGGGTGTTTTTTGGGGAGCTTATGTTGCGTTTTGTGGCTCTGACCCTGTATCCCATAGGAGAAGCATGAGAGTAGTTTTGGAGTGGTTTTGGGTGTTTTGGGGTGTTTTTGGTTAGTTTTGGGGGTATTTTGGGCTGGTTTGTGGCCATTTTAGGGCTCTTTTGTGGTACTGACCCTGTATACCATAGGAGAATCAGAACAAGGTGCTTTTGGGGTGGTTTAGGGTGCTTTTAGGGTGTTTTAGGGGCTCCCACCCTGTATGCCATAGGAGCAGCACAGGTTGGGTTTGGAGTGGCTTTGTGTAGTTTTGGTGTGGTTTTGTTTTGTTTCGGTTTGATTTTGGGCTCTGGCCCTGTATGCCATAGGAGAAACAGGACAAGGTGATCTGGGGTTGTTTTGGGCTGTTTTGGGGCTGTTTTATGGCTCTGAACCTGCATCCCTTAGGAGAAGCAGCACAAGGTGATTTTGGGCTGTGTTGGGCTTTTTGGGGGCTGTTTGGGGCCTGTTTTGTGGTGTGAACCTCTACCCCATAGGAGAAGCAGGGCAAGGTTGTTTTGGGGTGGTTTAGGGTTTTTTTTTGGGGGGGGGGTGTTGGCTCTGACTCTGTATTCCATAATAAAAGCAGGACAAGGTGGTTTTGGGATG